TCCTGGCTCCAATTTATGATATTACACTAGGTATATTATTGTAAATTTTGCGCCAAAGTAACTATAACTAACAAAGTAAAAACCGAACCACAACAAAAATTAAATTTAACTATGAATTTCTTCGTTAATCCGTGAATAAATTGCTCATAGATGATAATAGTTTTACATAATATGTTGTTAAATAAGGATATATATCATAGTTTCAATTTAGCTATAAAATTCGTCCGTCTAGATTTTTTCGATAATCGTAGATCAAGATTGCAACCCGTACATTACTATAATATCACTATTTTTCTATTAAAGTTTTTCACAGTAAAATGTTCAATAATAATTTCTATGGATATTTTGATTGAATTTGTGAGTCAAGAAAAAATAGTAGTGTTTTCACACTAAAAAATCAGGAAGCTTTCTAGTATTTTAGTGAGAATTTGTTTTACACCATACATTTTTCCTATAATCTGATTCTATGGAAAATGAATAAAAAAAAGAATCATATTTTATAACATAAATTTCTGATTAATTTGCGATAATAAAAATTGTTGTTCCTACTAGTGGTATAACAATGAAAGAGATTTGGGTGCATGAGTATCACATGTGGTTTTTGCACCAAAAGTTAGGTACTTGATTCCCATTCGGAACAACTTTTTTCATTTTGACAATGGCTTTTAGATCTAAGTTGAGAGTAATTCTATTTTCCTTTGGGGCCACTTTTTCTATTGGTGCATTAATATCCAAGTATTTTAAGAGGGTGCTTGGTGACCATGATCTATCCAAGTGGACCCTGTGGAGTAGTGGTACCATAAGGTGTCACATGATTTTGTCTATTCCTGGTGGAGTGATGGTACCGCAATGTTCACGTGTAAGATAGAAATATTATTCCAAAAGCATTTATGTATAGCCTGGACCCATCTTTTAATATGAAACCAAACTCTTGTCTTGATTCCAATTCGAGACCCGACATGACTAAGGACACAACCTTAACCTCGACCTGACCTTGGTCTAACCCTAACTTAGGCGCCAACAAACGATCCAACCATGACCTGAGATCCAACGGTGACTCAAGATCTATCCCCGAAACTGATTCCAAACAAGGATATAAAAATTTCAGCCCTAAACCAGGACTTGATATTACCCATAAGTTGGGATTGGGGATAGGGCAAGGTCGTGTTTCGAGTTTGTGAGGAGGTTAGGTCTTGAGTCAAGGTTAAAAGTCAGTAGTAAGGTTAGGGTAGTATATCTGGTACCCAGTCGAGGTCGATCGAGTGTCATGTCTTGGGCTAAGGTCGAGTCGAGTCTAGGTCGGGAGTCAAGTTTTGAGTCTAGTTTTGGAAATCGAGAGTCGAGTCCAATATCGAGAGTCTGATACTAAGTCTTAAGTCAAGTTTGGGGTCAAAAGTATAGTTCCTGCCGGTTGACTTCGAATTCCGGGTTGGGGTTCGAGAGTTGGGATTAATTGGGTCCCGATTTGTGGTCAAGAGTTAGTTCACGTGTGGGGATAATGAGTCAGATCTTGGATCGAGAGTCGAATTTTGGATCCTAGATCAGGGTTAGGGGATGAGATTGAAAGGGATTTTTGTTTCAATAGTTTCATTACTTTACATCAGGAAGTCATTTTCCTCTAATTAGAAGGTAATTAATAAGTTCATCTGGAAAATATTTTCTAAAATATTTAAGCTAACAAAATATGAGAAAACTATAAGATATTTTCAGAAAATGATTTCCTTACCAAACACACATTTCGAACAAAAGGTCTAATTCAAATAAATTGAATATTTTCAAATGTTATATCTGAAATGTATAATACGAAAATTCAAACTAAGAATACTAAAAGTTTTAACTTCAAATTTGTCCGAACTATACCTACCTTTATTTCCTTTGTCAGTTGTATTTCACTATAACCGCAATATTGACAAAAAAATAAGGAGGGAGGAAACAATTATTTTTCGATTTCAATTTACGTAAAACATTTTTCTTTATAATATGTCTCTAAAAAAAGGTCATATTTTTATAATTGAAAATAATTTAACTTTAAAATTTTCTTTTTATTCTTAATGAAATTATGTATATTTATAGTCACACAAATAGTCAAGAAGTATTCTAGACCATAAATTATAAAAGTTTTTTTTTGTTATTTAAATTTTATATCAAATCAAACGGTGTCCCATAAACTAGAACTTAAACGTGACTTTTACTAAAACAGGACAGTCTACATACGATTTAGACCAAGAAATATCATAGTGCTAGGACCACACAATGGTGCAGCCAATTTTTTAAAATATAATTAGTCTATGAAAGTCTTGAAGAAATTGCACTGAACTCCTAAAAATTTACATGTCTTCCTCCTCCCAAATTTTCGATAAATGTTTATTTGTATCGAATATTTATATCAAATCATTCAAATTTACTATAGGTAAATGATTTGATTTGGTAAGAATGTATATTATTAATCGTATGTAAATGCCATAAAAGTTTATGTAAAAAATACAGATCGTATATTAATTGATTTTGATATAAACACGAAACGCGATTATGGAGAACAAATTTAGTCGTATATATAGAAGTTCTTTTTTCCTCTCCAACTTTGTGTTAAAAAAAAAAAAAATAGAGTGCTGAGGCAATAATTTTAATATTTTTTATTACTTACGTTATTGTTCAATTTAAAAAGTACCTAATTCGTTTGAATAAGTTCAAGACATGTAATTAATTTCACATTAATTATTCCATGAGTTTTCAATCTTTACTTGGTCTTGAGTGACTTTTATTAATTTTGATATTTTCTATGATCTAGAAATACATTATGTAACACTCAAACGGTCCACAAAACAATAATACTTTATTTTTGAAGAAGAAAAAAATTCATATAAGCACAATTTTTACTTAAATGGACAATCATCAAGTACTAATAATTAATTAAATGTTTCCTAAAATCTGATTGAAAGTAACTAATATTAGTCCTGTATGATAAGCAATTGGGATATAGTTTATTTGTGTATTAAAAGAAGAAATGGTAAAAAGGGTCATAACAATAATATTACTTAAAAATTGTATTGGTTTGGTGCTTAAATAAATGTCCATTGTGATGTTAAGCTAGCGTTTAATTATAAATTTTTAAATATTTTTTTGAAATTTATGATTAAAACGGGTTCTAAATACTCATGGGGGCAATCGAGACTCCATTCGATACCAGTTGAAGTCAAGTATGATTTTGTGTTGATATGAATAGTATACATACTTATACACAGTCCATATTTCAGAAAAGTAATTAAATCTTATTATATGATTAGCGTGAACATCACTATAATAAATAACATATTTGACAGTAATAACATAATTGTCGTTGTATTATATGTAGCGATAACGATAAATATAAATATTTCTAATCAATATTTTATCTAAATATCGCTAAAGACTTTAATAACTCTGATATTAACTTAATTATCGCTAAATATTTTTGCATCGATAAATATTGAAAAATGTAAAAATATTAGTGGCAGATGGCCGTTATTAAGTGGACATAGTAGTTGTGAAACTTGTGATACATCAAAAAGGCAAGAAAAAAAAATGTTTTTATCCTTCGTGTCAAATTTCCATATAATTTATAGTTGTTGAAAATTGATAAAACTAAAACAAACATAAAATTAATTATTTACATGTTCGAGTTCGAGTTTTTTCTTGAGTAAAAAATTTATCGAAAATAGCTCTCAATATCACACAAAATAAGCATAAGCTAAGGTTTGCGACGATCCGTGTACCTTACCCACTCCAGACCTAGTAATGAGATCTCACGAAATATGTTATTGTTATCGAGGTCTAAGTTTGGAAACCACTTGTCAAATAATGGTATACTAATAACGTGTCCAATTCCATATAATTTATAGTTGTTGAAAATTGATAAAAACTATTATAACAAACACAAAATGAATTATTTACAAGCTCAAGTTTTTTCTTGTGTCAAGGATGTATCGGAAAGAAGTTTTAATCTTACCTCACGTAAGAAAAGGTCTGTGACTCTACCTATACCTCACACTTACCAAACCTAACTTATAAGATTTCACTGGATATATTATTGATATTTAAGAGGCCTAAGTTTAGAAAAAACTTGTGCATGAATCTTTGAATTTTAGAAACCACTTGTCAAATAATGGTATACTAATAACGTGTCAAATTCCATATAATTTATAGTTGTTGAAATTGATAAAACTATTATAACAAACACAAAATGAATTACTTACGAGCTTGAGTTTTTTCTTGAGTCAAGGGTCTATAAAAAATAGCCCTTTTACCTCACATAAGATAGAGATAAGGTTTGCGACTCTACTTATACTTCACACTTACCAGACCTGACTTATAAAATTTCACTTAATATGGTATGGTTGTTTACAAGCTCTAAGTTTAGAAACACTTGTACGTGCATGAATCTTTGAATTGTATTTTACCATTCTCACCTAACATTTTGCCAAAGTTTGAGTAGTCTTTGTAACACGGAGTCAAAGAGTTATACTTTGTGCAAACATATTTTTAATTTAAATAAATTTTATATGTAAGTGGGAAAACAACACAAAGAAGGAAACAAATAGGAAAATGTGAGGAAATAAGAAAACAAAAAATAAAAGTGAGTTGTGGTTGGTGCCCAAACCCACAATCTTTTGTACCTATATATATTCCTAGAATATTATACATAATTATATCCAAACCTGATTTTCCATTCTAAAACTAACAAAAAAAATCTTTAGCTCCAAGAATGGGAAGTTTATCATTTGAGAAGGTATAATTCTTACATATTACAAAACTTTTATCGTAGAATTTCTTCTGAGCTGTCTAAACTTCAACCCTTATTTCTTTCTGCTTTGGTTTTCGCTTCTATTACCGTTTCAGTGACTCATAAGGCTTCCCTCACCTCCGTCTTTGATTCTTTTATCATATTTTAGTTATTTGCATAATTGCATGTATACATCTAAACTTTATTTATTTTTCTCGTTTGTGATATTTTATAGGATTTTGAGCCATCAGTAATCACTCCAAGAGGATTAGCTGGATTAATTGTAAATGGTGATTTTGGTGAAATGATGAGACTTAAGATCTCATCAACACCTACAACACCAAGAAAAAACTTGAATCTTTCAGTGACTGAGCCAGGCAAAAATGATGGACCTACTTTGGATTGTACATTGATGAATTATATTGATACACTTACCCAACGTATCAACTATCATATCGGTAATTATCATCGAGTTTTAAGTTATATACACTGATAGTATAAAGAATGTTTATATTATTCATTAGTCTTTTATATTAGTTAACACGCTATTACATGTTTAAATTCCTAATAAAGTTAAAAGAAATATTTATATTTGTAATTTATAATATCTATTTTTAGTAAATTGATGACAAAGTTGACACGCAAGACTTGTCTTTAGTCTATATGTTGACAATTTCTTCTTTTGGTAAATTTTGAGTAGCTGTGTATTCGTATACATAGATATTAAAGGGGGTATACTTTTCAAAATTTTCAAAAGGGAAGGGACAAAATTGCTATCGCGAGCAATTTTGTATTTTTGACTGAAGCTGTCAAAACGGACTGACTCAATCGACAACTATACATTATATTTTGTTTGTTTGTATGAATTTGTAAATGTTGAGTTGTTGAAATTATTTATTTATTTTTTCTTTTGCAGGTTATCCAGTGAACATATGTTATGAGCACTATGCTAATTTAGCCCCACTTTTGCAATTTCATTTAAATAATTGTGGTGATCCATTTCTTCAAAATACTGTGGATTTTCATTCAAAAGATTTTGAAGTGGCTGTTTTAAATTGGTTTGCTGATTTATGGGAAATTGAAAGAGATCAATATTGGGGTTATGTTACAAATGGTGGTACTGAAGGAAATTTACATGGCATTTTGGTTGGGTAAGTATCAATTTTGACTAAGTTTCTGATGTTTCGATTCTCGAGAGTTAATTTTTAATTAACTTTTATTTTCTTGTAGGAGAGAATTATTTTCAGATGGAATTTTATATGCATCAAAAGACTCTCATTACTCAGTGGCTAAAGCAGCAATGATGTATAGAATGGATTTTGAAAATATTAATGCATCAATAAATGGAGAAATGGATTATTCTGATTTAAAATCTAAATTACTTCAAAACAAGGGAAAACCAGCAATAATTAATGTTACAATTGGTAAATATTTTAATACCTTCCTTTTAATAAAAAAATAATTATTATTGTGTTAACATTTTCTAATAATTATTTGTTTTAATTATAGGTTCTACTTTTAAAGGAGCTATTGATGATCTTGATGTTATTCTTCAAACACTTGAAGATTGTGGCTATACACAAGATCAATTTTATATTCATTGTGATGCAGCACTAAATGGACTTATTATTCCTTTTATTAAAAATGTAAGTTTTTTTTTTCTTAGAGTATATTAGCTTAACATAAAAATAACTCTAATATTTATGATTATATTTTTTAATAACAGATGATTACTTTCAAGAAGCCAATTGGAAGTGTGACAATTTCTGGTCACAAGTTTTTGGGATGTCCAATGCCTTGTGGAGTTCAAATAACAAGGAAAAGTTACATTAACAACCTTTCAAGAAGAGTTGAATACATTGCTTCTGTGGATGCTACAATTTCTGGAAGTCGGAATGGTTTGACTCCGATCTTCTTATGGTACAGTCTAAGTGCTAAAGGTCAAATTGGCTTTCAGAAAGACGTTAAGAGATGTCTTGACAATGCCATATACTTAAAAGACCGTCTTCAGAAAGCAGGAATTAGTGTGATGTTGAATGAGCTTAGCATCATAGTTGTCCTCGAGAGGCCTCGTGACCATGAATTCGTTCGTCGTTGGCAACTATCTTGTGTGAGAGATATGGCACATGTTATTGTTATGCCAGGCATAACTAGAGAAACTCTTGATGGTTTCATTACTGATTTACTTCAACAAAGGAAAAAATGGTATCAAGATGGAAGAATTAGTGCACCTTGTGTTGCTAGTGATATTGGTGCTCAAAATTGTGCTTGCTCTTATCACAAAATTGATTACATTATTGCTTAGAAGGTGATGAAGGGCTTCTACCATAGAGTTTGTCTACATATTACAACTCTTTATGACTTTATTTTTTATTCACATACACAAAAAAAAATTGTATTCTAGATATAATGTATTACTATGCCACATAAATCAATACCTTGTAAAGTACATGGTTTGATGCATATAATAATATTTTGAGAATAAATTTCAAGTTTTCATTTGATTATTAATCTAATTGGGATTATAAGATTATTTTCGATTCTCTCTCCATTTAAATAGAGTTATTGTAAGCTTGACGCTAGATCAATTATAAGGGAGAAAGTTTCAAATATCTTCGATCTTAATAAGAAAATAGAAAAATTAACTAGTGTATCACACATCTATTGATGTAGGTTGCTCGACAACATAAAGCTTGATATGACATAGGTTAGAACATAGTCATAATTAATTTCACTATGCATAATTAAGGAGTAAGATTTCGATTAGGAGTGACGTTTTTCTTCATTATGACTATATATAACATAACAAACAAACAAAAAACAAAATATTTTTTGTTAAAATTTCTCATAGGTATAATCCGTTGAATTAGATGAGCCAAACTAGGCTAAGTCAATAAATGAGCGATTATTAATTCATTCAAACTTAAACAGATTGAATGAGTCATATTCTTATAAGCTAATTTTACCGCACATCATTCCAATATTACCATTATTTATTTATTTAAAAGGGGGGGGGGGGGAGTGGGGGTTAAGGAAAGGGAAAGAAAAGAAGATGAGAAAACGAACCCTCACCTATAAGAAAAAAATTTATATTAATAACCAACTGAGCTTCTAAAATTATTCCACATTCTACTATTACCAAAGACCTTATAAATTCACTTTATAATACTTCTCATTTGCCAGTTTGCAGACTCTATCCCAATATAAAATATTCAAAAGTAAATAAGAAATTTAAAAAGAAATTAAAGTGTGTGTATATGACAATGATTTTTGCATATAATTAAAGTTCAATAAATCAATAGCCCTAAAAAAAATCCTTTTAATTTCTTTAACTTTTAAATAGTAGTAGAGCAAAGCAGGGCCATTGACTCAAGCGTTGATGTTATAAATGTTACACAAAATATTCTTCATATCTTCCGTACATCTCAACTAATTTTCATAAATGTTTGTTACCTGTCGGTAGAAACAAATTCCAGATATAACTCTATCTAGTATCCACCATAACAAGACAAATAAAAACAACCAATATGAGTTATGGTATACTGGTGGGACTTCTCCATCCTTAATCATAGTCTCAGGTACGAGCCCCCTGAGTATGAAATTCAACCGGGAGCGTCATCTCCAGAATGAGCCAAGCAGTGCGCAATCATAATTTAGTCGGATCTCCAATACTGACTCCGCACATATATTTTTTTTAATCCTTTTCAATTTAATTTCTTTAATTAATTTTCCTACCTACCAAATCCAATATGAACCTTTGAACAAGCAATATGTTCCCAAGTCAAAAGTGAAATGCCAATTCATGATGACAACATGCTTAGAAATTAGAACTTGGTCTTGACATTTAATATTTTATTTTAATTAGTTGATGGTTGCCATTACCTAATCAATAATAGTAATAATGTACAATATCCGACCAAGCTCAATCATTTTCATAATCTAATTATTTATTATATCCAAAATCCTTTATCTCAGGTGTCATTTATTTCAAACAATTAAGAAAAAGAATATAATCCATTAAGACTTAGACAAAGTTCTAAACAAAATCGTAATCCCAATTATTATTTTTAATTAATCAACATTGTTTTTCTAATCACTTCTCAAGATTCCAACCACCCCCATTAGATAGATATCCTTATTGACGTGGTCAATAAATATAAATAAAATTTGGAAGAAGAAAAATAACAGTAATTAGGGTAATAAAAAATAATTTCTATGTAACTTCTTAAAAAGTACCACATATTAATTAATGATCTCATGATGGAGAATAATTACCTTGGGTCATAACATAAATTATGAGTTATTTTTTCAGAACTTCTTGCGTTTCAATTTATTTATCTGGTTTGATTTGACATAAAATTTAAGAAAGTAAAAAAATTAATTTAAATCTTATGGTCTTAAACTAATTAAAGATATGTAAAATGTATCAAAATATTCTTTAATATGATTTTAAGCATGCAGAAAGTTAGAATTACAATAAAATCTCACTAAATTAATACTCGATTAATTAATAATCTCTCTAAGATAATAATTTTCTCCGGTCCCGACTTGGACCAATGAAAAAAATCACTCATTTCAATAAGATAATATACTTTCAGAAGACCCCTATACAAATATATGGGGTCCCATTAATATAATAATTCTTTAAAAGTACAAATAGATCTAAGCAAATTTAGTGAAATATGATTCTATTATGTTCTATTTTTTTGCTAAAGTTTAAAACTAATTGAAGCTCATCTCTAACTTTTCTTATTATTGCATCCAAAAGTTTGGGTGTTGTCTTTTCTAATTGCACCATAAAATTGTGAAGAGTTCTAGATGCAAGTGTTTCTTTATGCGTAACTAGTTCCAAAGGTATTGTATCATCTTCAACTTTATCATCAACATTGTTTTTCCAATGATATCCACAATTTATTCCAAGCTCTGGACCTATGAACATGTATCATTTTCACCTATCCATTAGGTTATTAACGTCCATTTTATTGCGGTAATCGAGATCATTAATCATGATCTCAAGTTTATGAATGACGTTTTCACAAGTGGATTCTTTCAAATTCCTTGAAATTTCATCCTTGAACAATTTTTTCGGTGTCGAAACATTCTGTATCGATTAAATAATACCTCTATAAAATAATAATATTTCATGATCCCGCCTATATTAATTTAAAGAGGTTTTACTCTAAATAGTTAACCATAAACATTTGTATTCATACAATATATATGGTACACTAGTTAATGACATTTGTCACTTTTTGTGCTTGATTAAAAGGGATATGTTTAATTTCTTTCTTCAAAAGGCAAGTGTACAACCACTATGATATTAATTAATTGGATCTTCAATGTCCCGATTATTCACGAAACGTAAAAAATAATCATCTATTTTTTAATAAGTTAATTTCATTGTTACCGTTCCAACTGTTAACATTAAATTCACTTATTTAAGACTCTTTATAAATAAAAGACATCAGGTTTTAATGTTTGGAGTGAAATCTTAATAACTTTTAGACAGATGATTAAAATAAATCACATTCACTTAATTAACTAACCATAAATGTTTGTATTCATCAATATATACTCGATATACTACAAATATAGATAATGAAAAATTATATATGTGAACTAAAAATTATGAAGAGATAAAATATAATTTCTATTCTTTTAACCAGAGTAATTTAGATTATAAAAAAAAATGCTTCCCTTTAGACTTAGTATTAGATTTTCATCACTTGATGGTTCCCACTACCTAACATTTAGACATAAATAAACTACAATATCCACCCATTAAGCCAATCATTTATCACAATTAATCTAATAATATGCAATCCCAAACCCTTATGTCATGAGGTATTTATTTCAAACAACAAAATATAAAATAAAATCCACTAGGACACTAATTAATTAATTAACTTAATCGTACTCCTAATTCTTTTAGTAAAAAAAAAAAAGGTACGAGTCACCTAACTTAGTTAATACTAATTCATCTATTTTGTCCTTTAATCCTAAGTTCCAACTACCCCCATTAAATATCCATTTTGAAGTGGTCAAAAAATATAATGACCCCTATTGAAATTAAAGTTTGAATAGAGTAGGATACTATAATACATTTAAACATGTTAACTCGGTTTCTGTTGATATTTATGTCATTCAACTTTGGGTGTGCATAAGTAGACACTTAAATTTGTATAAAATTGAACAAGTAGACACACGTGTCCTACGTGACTTAATACTCATCGGACGCCACATAGGATACAAAATTTCTATGTAGGATGTCATGTAGGATAAATATATCTATTTGTTCAATTTTATATAAGTTTAAATGTCTATTTGTGCACATCCAAAATAAAAGATCATAGTTATGTTACCAAATGAAGTCAAGTTATGAATCATGTTCATGTATTATATCTTTAACAGTTAAACCAATATTTGGAGTGATCAATAAATGAGGTTGATAAAATTTCTATGTAACTTCATATCTTTATAATTTAAGTTTGAATAAAGTAGGTTATTTTTAATAGTTAATAAGTTTGAGTGAAAATTGTGCTACATGTGTCAAAAAGTCAAGTCAGGTTAGACAGGTTGGTAGAGATAGCTAAAGGTGAAAGTAGTTAGTAATGCATGCGGTCAATCGCAAGTTAGAATTTTCATTACGAAGATATCAAAATAAAGAGAGGTAGATCTGAAAAGAAGCAAAGGGGTGATATAAATATACATATATAAATTTACCTAGCTACATACTATAATTTTCTGATAAAAGAGTATTAGTTAACATTCCTCAAGTATAGGTGGCTCCGCCACCTAAGTTGATTGATGGTGTTAGTGGTCAGCTACGTAAGTGATTGATCATAGTGATAATTCACGGTTGTTATAATTATCGATGTTGGATTGCTATTTGTGCAATTAAAGTAGTTGGGTGTCGAAAGTGATGATTGAAGTCCAATAATAATAACGCTGAATTATAATCGATAAAATAGTGATAACAACATATTCAATATAAAAACCATACTTAATAGATAAAAAATATTTTTGTGCAATTTTTAAATAAATTTCTTTGAATATCTAATATATCTTTTATATTTGATCAATGTGAAATTTGTCTAAAATAGTGCATAAATCATAAAGATAAATAAGTCTTTGCAAGGTTAAATTACAATTTTTTGGTGGTGGTGTTCAATTCAGGAGGACTTTGTGATGGTCTTGTAATCTTTTTATTTCCACAAATAAATGAAAATATTAGTATTACTAATGGAAAAAAAACACAATAAATAATACTTTTCCTCTGTTTTCATTTTTGGTTAATAATCGGCTACGTAAATTTTCCATTTTAGAATAATTAATTTGACCATTTTTTCCTACAAAAATTAAAACATGGATAAGTTTCTTATCTTTAAATAAAATATAAAATTTAATAAGTTATAAACATACTAAATAAAGTAATTCTGTCCCTTGAAAACAAATATTTCAATTTGTGTGACCTGATTCAAAGTATATGGGTCATATTAACTAATTTTTTATGTGAATTCGTATATATAACGTTCTTTTTTTATTTTTTTATTTTTATAAAAATTACATGAAAAATACTAACCAAAGTACATGAGTCACCACAGTTAATAATTTAAAATATTTTTTAAAAATATATTATCAAAGATAGCACCATTTGGCTCTGCAAATAATAACTATAACACACAATTAAGTGAACGGATGGACAAATAATTACTCCCTCCGTCTAAAAACAGTTGTCATATTTTGCTAAGAGATAACTTGACTAACTTTTTATGTTAAATTAATTTAAATTAATTGAATATTTAAAACAAAAATTAGGTGTTCAAAAACTACATAAACTGTATTATAAGTTGCAATTTTTTTTATATCATATATTAAAAATACATTTAAAAATATTGCTCAAAATTCAAATAATTTGACTCATGAAACAAGACTTTCAAAAAATTCGATGAACGAACATAGGAAATTTTTTCACGCAAAAAAAATAATTTTTAAGATTATTTTCAAAGAAAAAGATTGTATCCCTTAGTTTTTTATTATTATTTTTATAAATAAAAAACGTACAAGGTCGATTTTTGAAGTGCAAAATTATAATTGAAAAGCATAAATAAAAATGATAAAAATATTTCATTAACGTAAAGAACATGTATGATTGAGTGGTAGAATTGTTTGTCCTATCCGTTGGCTTATTAAAACCGATGAAAGCCAAAACCAACATACAAGATCAATTGTTCCTTGAATTTAATCGATTTTATCCTAATTTTGACCCACCTTTTAGTGGTAAGGAGAAGCGAAACATGACAAGTAATTTAAGGTCAATAGAGTCATAATTTTGGTCAAGCACTAATAAATGTATTTCAAGATGTGCAAGAAAAATTTGTGACACCTTACACATCATGAAAAACATAACACAATTTGTTCTTACCTATCTTGACCTAAATTCCTTTATCAACCAAGTATTCTCAACAATGTCAATAATTTACACAAAATTAAATGACATTTGTCACTTTTGTGCTTAATTAATACTAATTTATTATCACATATATAGACCAAGTGAAATGAATCATTCTGAAGTATCCAAAACTACATCCTTGTATTAAATTTGAACTGACATTTCTTTTGACACATATAATCTTAATTAATATAGTTTCTTTTCTTGACAATGAAAGTCTACAATTATTATGACAATTAATTGGACTTGAAGTAACTAGTTAGTAGTCAGAAACACTCCAAAAATAAAGAATTAGCGATAATAATATAATTATCGTTATATTATATTGATCTGTAATAATAAATATGTATATTTATAATGGCATGCTTTATATAAATATTGTTAAATGATTTAGCGACTAAAGATGCAATGATAAATTGATGATAACTCAATTACGGCTAAATATTTTTACAACAAAATTTAAGAAAAAATTATTATCAATAAATGTCTCTTTTGTTGTAATGGGAGTTCTTTTGAGAAGATAATTTTCACTTGGTTAATATTAATTTGCACCTACAACTCCAATTATTAATTAATTGATATTACTATCCCTATCCAATCCTAGATGAACTCAATAACTCAAAATTCAAACAATGTGATTTTCAGAGACGTATAAGAATTAATTCAAAATAACAATTTTATAATCCAAATATATATATATACCCCAAAATTAAATCAATATATAACATGCCACGTATTACAACTTGTATTACTTAGAAAATAGAATTGTGACAAAGTATATTCGGATATTTGCACACATAGAAAAATAAAATAGGCACGCTATATATTTGTACACTTAAAATAACTCGATTTCTATTGATTTGACAATTAAGTTTTATTTTTTCTTGATTTTAAATGAGAAAGTTTTTGAATGATCTTGATATTTAGAGTTGACAATGATTAGAACAGTGCCAAAGACAATGACATAGCCACATATAGTTTTTATTAAAAAAAATTATATACAAAATAATTATATGAATAATATAGGTTAAAAAATTATTTTTATATATATAGTCGTATATATTAAATCTTAAATATTCTTAACGGAATTTCTGATTTTACTACCTGCCTGAGACAAATTAAGGATTTTTTATACATTTACAAATTAAACAACTCCATAAATTCCAAATTTCTAATGTTTAAACAAAAAAATGAACCCTAATTGTCCTTATTAAGCATTCAAATGAATAGGGGAAAAGTAATTTAAATAATTTTTGGTTTCAATAGAACTTTTGATAAATCTAAACATCAAAGATAAAAATTAAAGTCACAAAAAAAAGCCTAGGAATTTTTATTTTATTTTTATTTTTATTTGTTGTTATTGCTTGTGGAAACTTGATGAGGTGTGATGAAAGATTCTTTCACCAACCCACCTATAGGATGTGTCAAAAGGCAGATAATCTAATCTAGTAGGTATACTTACTTCTCATTCAAAAATATAATTAAAAATTATATAATATACTTAATTATTGCAGCAAAATATGACTTTTTTTAAAGACAAAATTGACCTTTTATGTTATACACAACAACCAATGTTGATTGTGTTCACATCAACTTCTTGACAAATGAAAACAAATGATAAGTGGATATGAATCGTGTGAAGTCTACATTTAAGCTTTAAAAGAAAGATTTCTTTGAATTTTTCTTTTCTCAATAATTGTATTTTTTTTTTCTTGTATAAATTATTTAGACATTTAAAATTATAATTTTCGAAATTTGGACCCCCCCCCCCCCCGCCCCCACGCATTAGCAAGTGAAGGAGCTAATGTGTTGGAGAGTCTCATCAATGTTTGTATCGAATAAATTAAAGATAGACAAAATATGTACTTTTTTTATTAGGTTATATCATACACTTCTTTTATATTAGATAATTGTAATCGTAATATTATTAATACCTCTCCTCTCCCTATTAGTAGACATCCAGCGTTATCACTACTATGTAATGCTCATATTAAGTAATTAATATAATATCTTGTTAACCAAAAATAATAATAATGGAACAAATTGGGTGTTGAGGAACAAAAACAACCTAGAATTAAATAATTTAAGAATAAGTGTTATATCACAAGGTTATTACAAAGTGAAATTAATATATATATATATATATATATATATATATATATATATATATATCGCAGATTCTTCATCTTCCTTCATTGTAAAACGTAAAGTTTGTATTCCATGAAATAGTTCACTAGGTTTTAGTACCATTTACGGTGGTTATCGACAATCGAAAGAGAAGAGGAGAGGAGAGGAGAGAGCATGCCCTCGAGGAAATATTATTCTCTTATTCTACATTCCCTATTTACTTAATTGGCGATGTTTTAAATTCTATTCAGGAAAATATTTTTCAAAAGTAATTTTTATAAAAAAAAATAAAAATTCATACCAAACACGCCCTTTTAAGTTTTGTTCTAAATTATCTATTAGTAGCTATAAGTGTTAAAATCCAATGCGCGTAAATGATCATCTTGGTCATTATTTATCCTTAATAAATATTGAGAGAGAGATTAATGTGATAGACAAGAACAAAGTATTAAATTGAGATCAAGATTAAATAAAGATAACAACAATAACATACTCAGTACAATCCCATAATATAAGATCTTAGGAGGATAAAATGTACTTAGACCTTACATCAAGTTACACTTTATAATACTTTTTTATGAAGCATGAAAAAAAATGACACGTAAATAGACCAGACAGAGTATCCCTATGACGATAGTATTAACACATGTTTGTGGTGTAGTGCTAAGTACTCTTTCATCCTTAACCAAACGTCTGGGGTTCGAGTCCCCTGAGTACGAAACCTCCTTTGTTAGAAAGTGTTTTACCTCAATGTAGGACTTCAATTTCCGGCGCGGATGTGAATATAGTCGAACTTCAATATCGAACACCAGATAGGAAATTAAACCAGGAAAAAAGAAACATGTTTATTCATCCAACATGTACGAAGCCGCCTTTGTTATAAAGCGTTTTACCCCAATGTGGAACTTTGACTTCCGGCGCGAATCTGAATATAATCGAACTTCAATATAGATACCAAACACCATATAGGAAATTAAACCAGGAAAAAAAAACATGTTTAATTCATCCAACATTTCCAAACACAAATCAATACACATATAGTAGTAATAAATACTGCTTTTACAAAATGGAAAAAAAAAAAAAAAACTGCAAAATAAATTTAAATATTTTCATGATCAAATCTCCTTAGGGTCAGCATATTTTTGTAAAGCATCACCAACCATTTTCCCATACCTAAATTCTTCAAATATTTCAACCCCCATATCAACATAAAAATCATATGATTTTTTATTCCAAACTGCCACAATTCCCTCAACTGATGAAAATCCATTATTTGCAGCAATTGATGCAACTGTCCCAAACAACAATCTTCCCATGCCCAATTTCCTATAACTTTCCCTAAAATAAAGACTCTCAAAATAAATCCCAGCCTTATCATAAAAACACGAATAATTCGCGTAAAAAAATGAATATCCAGCAATAAAAACGTCGTTTTTATCATCATCATTGATCGAATTGGACTTGAATTCATCGGCTTCTTTGTCTACGACATTTGCCCTTAGGTCAATTTTTTTTAGGACAGGCTTAAATTTTTCGCCTTTACTATCAATATCTGAAAAAGGCGTTGGCGATACTTCAAGTAGAAGTATTGAAGGACCATAAAATAAAGGACTAGGGTTTGTTTTATTGAATAAAAGGTCACAAAGGGAAGATTCAGTAGCTTTGTAAAGATGAGTGTAATTATGATATTCATGAATTTGGAAAAAAAGTTTGTATATATGATGTATATCATTTTCATTTGCAAGTCTAACTCTAACATAAACTTTTTCAGTAATTGTGAGGGGGTTTTCAATTGTAGCCATGATGATATATAATAATAATAGATGGATGGATTGATGAAGAAAAAAGATTGAAGTGTTTTTGTTTTTGGTTATGATGAGATATGTTTGAATGAATATGGTTATTTATAGTTGAAAACTTTGTGTTGTTTTTGTTTTGTTTATTTGTTATTTTTTGTGTGGTTGTTGGTGGAAAAGTATATTAAATTAAAATTATGAGGCGTATTCAACTATTCATGATGTGCAAGTTAGTGTGTGTTTGGTATGGAGGATGATGTTTTATAATTTTTTATGTTTTGTTAGTTAAAATATTTTGGAAAATGAGTTTCTCGTTGTTTGCAATAAATTTTAAATATATGGAAAATAAATAAATCACACAAATAAAATATAAAGAAATATGAATTTTTTTATTGATAATAGGTGCAGGTATAATTTTGTTCCTTCCTTGATTTTTCTCTCATAAGATTTATTCATGATTCGAGGGCCGTTAGTGGCGTATTTCTCGAACTACGATGATTTAGATTTGACCTCTATATGAATATTTCATGACTTTTGTAGAATATATCGAGATGCCTTTTAAGGGAATTTAGTACCCTTTATATAGGCATGACATGAACTAGGATTTAGGGTTGAGTAGCCTCCAAGAAATCTAATTGAAACTGAATACACCTTCTAAACCCCCCATTCGAATTGAACCCATCTTGTAGAGTCCCGCAAAATTTCAATGTCTACACTCGTAAATGTGGAAAATAATTTCTTTAATAAAAATAGAAAAAATAGGTTTTATAAGTAACATTTCAAGTTCATTGTATGTTTGCTATCTTTTGATCATCCCACCTCTAAACCCCCCATTCCCTATCTCATCATGTCCACGTAATATTTTTCTAGATTACGTAATAATAAACTCACATATTTTTCTATAAAAAAAATGTGAAATATTTTCCTTCGTGCCAGACACACAAGAGATAGTTGAATTTGGTTGAGTTGGTGAAAGGTGAGTAGTGAGTACCATGTCCACGTACTTTGCTGGCTCATCATACTTTCCTATTAAATAAATTTGTTTTGAAAGGGACCATATAATAGTTCTCCTTTTAATTATTTTTTTTTGTGGGGAAATCATAAAGCTATTTTGTATTTTATTTGTTAATTTATTAAATATTAAACAGAAATATTAAAAAATGAGGCAGAGAGTTGATAAACTAGTTGATTGACTTGGCATGTGGTATTTAATAGTATTAAAAATGTTTTAAAGTTGAGATTAGGCAAAATTATTTTCTGTTTTTCTAGTTACTAAATTTATTTAGCACTTTTTGTAAAGACAATCTGTCGGATTTTTTTACAAAGAGTATTATCGGACACTATACTTTTTACAACCATCATCATCAATCACCACTCCAAAAAAAGAAAAAAACACTGATACATAATAGTTTCTTCTTTAAAGTTACAAATATATAAAAATTTGTATATTAAGTGAAAATAGTGCAAAATAAACATCTACTTGGAACCTCAATAATAACAACACCAAAGTGACATACAAGAATTGTAATAACTAGCACAAATTATTTACGAAAAATATTATGTACGCCACTAAATACAATTCGTTAATGAACTCCAATCGTGCAAACTTTATAGAGTATATATAAGTTATCCTTCATCATAGTGTATAAGTTATTCATAGAGTTAACAAGAGACAAGTAGTTGTGTGACCTTGGGTACGAAGTCGCCTTGAGCGTTTTACCCTTTGCGTGAATCTGGATATAATCGAACTCTAACGTGAATATAAAAAAAAAAAATAGTCGTGAGACATTTTCTTCTAATGTGAGAAAATGGTCAAACAATCCAACCTACCACCTACCTACCTATCACTATAATTGACAAATGGTATAAAAAAATCAACCTGCAACCATCAAAGTTTGGTGGAATGGATAACATCTTTGTTTTATTGATTGGTGGAATCAGAATTTAATTAATTTTATAGACTTTAAATTTTAAAATAGCAAAACTAAGGGTTAATAATTAAGTATAATTGAACTTATACAGGACTTTTAGCTTCGCCTCAATTATTATTAATTAACTAGAAATTTTAAGTTTGAAATCCAAAAATATAAATGTACTGATAACAAAATTCCTTATTTTTCAATGACTTTTACATAATACAAGTATAAATTAATTACCTACCTATCACTACAAGTCATCAACTAGAAGGTGACTTGCATGTCTAATATATTAAATAAATATCATATTGATATGGTCCAAGCAATGTTTGATGAGCATGGTATTTTCATTACAAAATCTACTAATAATTCTATAGGAAATCTCATTTTTAATGTCCTAGAAATTTTGATTCTGTCTCGATCCAATATTAAACTTTTATGGCAATAAAAATAATAATATCGTGATTAGTCACTTTTTTTTTTCCTATTTATATGGTACGATTCAAATTTTGAGAGTCAAATTTTTAATTTTTTATTGTAAATAGATTGAATTAACAAAAAGAGAACTTTTAAAAATGACTATATATGTTTAGGTTTAATTAGAGATCTATAACTATAGTTTGCTTAATTATGATTTATAATTACATGTTAAAAGAAGAAAAGAGACAAGCAAAATCGGAAAAGGGAGGAGAGAAGCGAGCGAGAGAAGGGACAAAGAAAAGAGAGGTGAATCATATTTGTATATCTGCTAGATAATTGTGTATATGTATCTAACATATGTATATTTATAACTAAGAAAAAGAATTTTAGATTTTAAAATCATATATAAAATAAAATTGAATAAACCCCTAGATCATACCTAGCTTCGCTCCGTGTACTTGTCTCTACGTTTGGGCAAATATTACGAAACAAACATCTTGCAAGTTGTGATACACACCTCAAACTTTCATTGACTTTTTCTACTCAATTTGGTAAAATAGTCAAACTTAACAACTTACCAACTTTACCAAAATCATCTTATTATTTTAATAATTACAATATTCGACATGCAGGCCAATTAAACTTGGGAAGAAACACGTATGACCTACTATTAAGTAATCACTTACCCTAAACGTTTATATTTTATAAAAACACCCATCATTTATTACTACCAACTTGACAAGCTTGAAAAACCACCACAAAGACACGTATTCAACTTATGTAATAGTATTGTTTCATAGAATTTGTTAATTAAAGTAATGTAAATATAAAAATTGGATGCTTCTCTTTGAGTTGAATTTTTTTTAGTATATCCTACATTGATATATGAAATCGTTAATACGTAGTTTGGAACTTATAATTTATATATGGTTTAATTTATATCACCAAGTAAGTTTATTATAAAATGATAATATAAATTGTTGGGTTCTCCGCAGTTTTGTGGTTAATGAAGTGACATGAAACGGGTAAGTCAAGCTGGTTCAACGGTGCACAGTCTGAAAGAGCTGAATTTGTAGCAAGATCATAAAAGACAAGTGTGAAGAAATTAAGAATGGATAATGTTAATTTCGAATAAACCTGAGGAGACCGAGATGTTTTGAATTGAAGAGTTGAAGTTTGAATTGAAGGAGTCTCACTTGAAGTGGAACTCTAAGTCAAGAAAGTTCGAGTCAATGTGGAATTTGAAGTAAAGAACATCCATTTGAAGAGTTTTGCTTAAATAGAACTATAGAAGCGAAGTCGTGTAGAATATATCTGCACTGACATATCAAAAAGAACAATTAAAAATTTGACATTGCAAGTGTTACCAGAAGATTAAAAGAACACATTAAAAAATCAGGTCTTGGGCTTATGTATTAAAAGATCTTCATTGAGTTGTAATGTTGATGTAATCTTAGTTCAGTGAGTTGTAAATTGAATTAGAAGATTTGTCCTCAAGTTAAGATAACTCGAAAACTCAGGAACACATACCTTAGGAGATTTATGTTGAAGTTTAGGAATTAGAGTTAGTTCTTAAGATTGCAAGAGTTGTAATCTAAATTCATAACTTGAAGTAGGTTTGATGATTTGATTGATTGTTGATGTTTAGGAATCAGAGTTAATTTCTTAGGTTATAGAAAATCTTAAATTGTTGAGGCTTAGTGATTTAGTGAAGTTGAAGTTAAATCTTGTAGCCTGTAGGGGTACAAGTCGTGGTTTTTTTACACCTTTTGACCGGGTGTATTCTACGTAAAACATTATGTTCTTTACTTATTGCTCTTACTGTTTCGTTGGAAAATGTTAGACAAGCAATTTTCCACTTAGGCGGAAAGTTATGTTAAGTAACTAAACTCTAGATCGTGTAGAATATCACAAATTTATGAATATTTTTAATAGTTTTTAAAACGTATGAGTATATATCATATTTCTTTAATAATTTACTTGGACTATTCCTTCTGTTTTTTATTTGTTTATCTGATAACACCAAAACGAACATACTTGGGCCATTGCCCATTAGAGGAAGACTGGTTGTTATATTGGGCCAATATGGACATTAGTCAAGCCCAAGAAACTTCATAAATGGAGTACGAATTGGACCTGATGAACAAAAATCATTTTTAATAGTTGGACGTAGGGGTGTACATGACCGAGTTGGTTCAGGTTTTTCAAATATCAAATTAAATCATTTGTGCAAAAAAATTAAATTTATAAACCAAACCAAACTAATAAAATTCGGATTTTTTCGGGTTTTTCAACCTCGGATTGGTTCGGGTTTTTCAAAAACCAAACCAAACCAAACCAAACCATTGTGTCAAATTTTTTAATTTATAAATCAAACCAAACTAATAAACCTCGAATTTTTTCAAATTTTTGGATTTTTTCGGTAAAGTTTGCATACAAACATATAATTTAACTTGTGCTCCAAATATTTCTTTAGTCCAACCAAAATACAATTATCTAAGGTGTTTCTTTAAAAAGTAACATAAAATATGACTGATGACACAAAAATATTCAATAAAAAATAATAATGAAATCATCATATAAAATAAATATTGCAAAGTCATACTGAAAATGATCATAATTTAAAAGTACTAAATCATGCTAAAATAAGTTTAATAAGTATTAGTTACATTTCTAAATATTTA